GCTTTCCCTCCCCATACCCATCACAGCATCCCTTCCATGGCAGTCATTCTGTCTCCTTCCTCCTGGGCTGCTGGTCTCGTTCGCTCTTTCTCAGGATTACCATGCTTCTCATCATCCCGGCTTCCCAGCAGCCTTTCGGGTCCTCACTCCACTCATGGTGGCTGAGGGAAGATGCACTGTGGAAGCAAGTTTGCTCTCTACCCAGCTCTGTCCCATCACTCCTCAGCCTCGGCCTTCTACCCGGTCAGAGTCAAGTAATATCATGTGTGTCACAAAGACCTCAGCTCACCTTCCTTTTTTTATACAACCAAATATTGGCTCCTCATTATGTCTGAAATGCAGTGAAACTTCTCAGCCTTCAAATTCCTGCACTGTGGAGTCTCGATCTCATGTCTTTCTAAATCTTTCCTCTGCCCCATTATCACCATCCTCTCCCTGGTTCCCAACTCTTGGTACAATACTTGGCAGCACAGAATGACTTCAGTTTTGGGCTGGGGATTTAGCTCAGCGGCAAAAGCACCTGCCTGGCAAGCGCAAGGTCGTGAGTTCGGTTCCCGGTACCGGAGAAAAACCAAAAAAAAAAAAAAAAAGAATGACTTCAGTTTTTCCCACAACATGTTGTGTCTTGACATCTCTACTCATTTCTTTAATATAATTCTTTCCACTCAGAATGTTTTCCTCAGTTTTTTTTTTCCCCATTAAAATTGTTTAAATCCAACTCAAAGCCTACTCCAGAGTCTAGGTCAAATTCTACTTCTGCCATTACAGAAACTCCTGTTTCTCCTGCTGTAAATTCTTCTTCTTGCTCCCATGTGTCTTTCCTGTATGCTTACCATAGTCTCCTTGTGTCTTTGTTACTCATTTTAACAAAATTCCCATAACCAGACTTCGTATCTTAAGAAGTAGGAGCCACCATGGTTATTCTAAATCTTCTGCACCATTAATTTAAATACATTTTAGTGAATGAATGAATGATGGAGAGTATTCTGGAATAACAATATTCATCACACCAACTCAGACCACATAGTTCAAGAGCGTAACCCTAAAGTCACAGTCACTTCTGAAGAAGGCCCACACAGCACTGCAGAAAATGCCAAAGCTTTGGCCAAACAAGCCAGTTAATTGGGGCACACAGAGATCCTCTCTGCTTAAAATATTTCAAACGGATTGGTGTGAAATGAAATGTAATGTAGCCTTCACACTGTCAGCTAGAACTTCCAATTAACAATTCATTAATGAGATAAATATTAAGATCTCAGATACTTGAAATATGCTACAGGACATGAAAGCAAGGTCAATGACTCCTCCATTTCTCTGGCAAAGGTAGCCAACCACTCTAGCGGTGAAGAGAATTTTCCGATGTCTATCCTGTACCAAAGAGACCCAAAGCAAAATCCCCAAGTTCTGTAATATAAACTAGTGCATACACCTGCCCCTTGCCACTCATCGAAGCCAGCCAGCTGAAAAGGCTCTGTGGACCTCAGCACATACCACCTTCTTGGTCTCCACAGTCCCTGCCTGGTTCAGGCTAATACTTCTCACCTGGCTCACTGTAATAGCTTTCTAAGGTTCTCTCCAACACTTCCCTCTTCCTTACTCAATGTTTCCTCTAATCTAGTGCCAGAGAGAGCTGACAGAGCCCACATCTGACTGTGCCACTTCCCTGCTTTGATGGCTTTCCATGGCCAGAAAGGCAGGCCTGAACTCCTCAGGGTGGTTTACTGGGTCTTTCACAACTGAATGTTAGCTTCTTCCAGCCTGCCCTTTCCCATTCCCTATGAATCACCCAATAGCTCATTATGTCTTCCTGCTGGTTTCTCTCACTAAAATGCTCTTCCCTGCCCTGCCCTGCCCTTCTCTTCCACCTTGGTCATCATCCTCCAGGGTCAAGAACAGAAGTCCCCAGTTGGTAGCACAGGCCCCTTCATCTACCTATATAATCATGGAATTAACACCAGGAAATATAATGCCTACACAAGAGGCAATTTCTTGAAAGCACTGATAACTAATCCTTAACCTTCACATCAGAATGTTTGGAAGACACATGCCATTTCCGCCCTTTTTCTTTAAGCTGTCACACAACAATTTTCAACACGTAGGAATGAATGCTGCCTAATTTTGCCTCTAGCTACTCAATGGAAAATAGCAAAACTAAGTGCTTCCTGAGGAACCTGTAATAATTACACATTTACCTTTTTTAAAAAAAAATTCAGAAACACCTTGGCACAACCACAGAGCAAAACATTTCTTTAATTGCACCCATTTATAATTACGGCAATTTCCAGTTTGAGAAAATATCAGAAATTCCTACTCAAAAAGGCCTAATCCACTTGAATTTGTGACAAGACGTAACAGCAACATAGGCTTTGTTCTGTCAGACTCAGTCATTCCCAGCACAGCAGTACTTCCTTGTAACTTTTTCATTTTGGTGCGTAGGTATAAAAAGAGATATGGCATTTCAGAACTGGAGAAGCAATGTAGTATAGTAAAAAAGAGTAAGTCAGCTGGCAACTTGGATACTAACTTAAATTTCATCATTGCCTACTTAGCTAACTTTGACCAAGCCATGACAGATGAGGTAGATGTGGTAGGTGAAACATTTAAAAATCATAAAAAAAAAAACCAACTCTGTATGTAACTCCAGGGTTTGGTCATCATTGTTAAAACAAGAAGAGGAAAGGGAAGACCAAGGTTTACATTAGTAAACTGCAGTTTCCTCTCTACATGGTGTGTGTCACAATTGAGCTTCCAGGAGTAAGAGCAGATCACTGCCACTGAAAAGAAAAACAAAAATGCTACACCAGTGTCCTGCACACCAGGAACTTAATGACGAGCAAAAGTATGGCTACTGCAAATGCCCAGGATGTGAGAGATTAAAATAACATACAGCCTGTATTTTTAATAAACTCTTGTGGGAAAATGTGTTGAATAATTCATTAAGTGGAGCATCACTGAGAAATGATTGTTTCAAACAGTATCATCCAGCAGAAGGGAGACCACAGAATGTGAGTTTACATTTATCACAAAGAAAGTGAGATCCTTCGTATTCCTTTCCTTACTTTAAGCTTCATGGAAAAGTCTATAAAGAAAAAAAAAAAAAAAAAAAAAAAAAAAAGAAAGCATCCTCCCCCTCAGAAGTACAAACATTTCAGAGCTGTTAATGTATCCACCATACAACAATCATGCAAGAAGGAAAAAATACCCTTAATCTTGTATTTTACAAACCTAAAGTGAAGGTTTGAAGTTAACAGAGCAAATAATCATAAGTAAAACTGCAAATCAACTACTAAATTTCTGTCTCATCCTGAAAGCCTTCAGAGTGATCAGCACCATGTTCAGATTTTATATAGTTACATATTTGGAGGTTATTATAATCTCATTCCTGTAACTGTTTATAATATTCTGGACTGAAGTAGGTATAAAACAAAGGCAACACAGGTGTACTGTTAATAAGTGTAAAATTCTTTGTGGTCTAATGCTGATGATTAACTTTGGCAAAGTGATAATCTAATGTTTAATTTCTAAAGATCTTGCTCTACCTTGAGTTTTCACTGACTTAGTACTTCTAATCTGCAGCAATTTTAAGATTCATTTAAGGGATCCCTATGAAAGAAAAATGTTTACAGTATCTACCATAACATTTTCATATTATCAGTGGTTAAGGTGCACCCTGATTTCAGAGATACCATGATATATGGCAATGTGTATCCTGAAATCAATAAAATAAGCCATATGAAATTGTTGCCCTTCTAAGTATAATAAATCAAAAAGACTATTGTTCTGAGAAATTAATCTATACAGTAGGACACTTAAATATCCTAAGATCATGACAGGTTAGCAGTCAGTCTCTGATACAGTAAAACTTTAGGGTACTTTTAACAACTTAAACAAGGCCCTAACCTTTCCTATGGTACCTATCAAAGCAAAAGCATCTGAGACTTCCAACTTATAAAGTCAACGCTAAGCCCCTGAAATAGTTCAATCACAAAGCCTTGAAATTGCCTAATTATTCTCCCCCTTGAGACACTAAGTGTTCCAATTCGAGGCCACACAATTAGGGATGTGCTGTGTTCCTAAACTAAACAGCCAGCAGCCTTGAACATGTCATCTCCTCTCCTGTTCAATAAAACCCTGTCATTTGTATTGATGGACTTGGGGCAGAAAAAAACACAAAGCAACTTTTTCCCTTTGAAATGGGTTTAAAAGAAAATTCCAAGGAAAAAATAAAGTCAGAGAAAGACATGTTTACAAGCACAGAGGAATGTTCCCCTTCCCGAGCAATGCTGGATTGTGTGCACTGGGGGTAAAGTCTGACAAACAACGAAGTCAGCAGGCTACAATGCGCAGCAGAAGAAAGTGGCTGCATTGTCTTCTCAGGGTGAGGGCAGCATTCTCAGTTCTAAGCCTCAAGCTGAATAACTGCTTTCAGGGGACCAAGCAGAACATCTTTTCCTCCAGCTTCCCCTGCATCTACACAATGTCACTCTTGTTGGAACACAGTGTTTAAAAGACACAAGAAATCTCACTCTGACCCTCCTACTTGGTGAGAGCACCCATAATCTCTTCTGTTCTTATCTATTTCTAGTGACTTGAGATACATTTGTTTGGCAACTACCTCCACCCCCACACCAAACATAAAAGTACACTGGACTATTCTTTCAAACTCCATATTCTCTAAACTATCTAATGAAACAGAACTTCTATAGTTGAACTTGGAAAGTGTCAAATCAGGATCAGAATGGACATATATTCACATCTGCTTAAATGTATTCTATTGCTACTACCTTACTTTAAAGACGAATTCTTTTATAATCCAATGTCATAAACTACTAACTTAGAGCTACAAGCAACCATCATTCTTACTAAGGAAGATGCTTTTTAGTGAATAAAGACCCCAAACCTAGAGAATTTAAAATAATATTCTTTCTTTCAAACATAACAACCAGGCAGAAATATTTTCCACTTTTTAAACCTGCATCCCCAAGAGGAAAAGCACTTACGTGTTCAGACTTCTCCAGTTCTTTTTTGTCTGTCTGCAAAAACTGACAGTTTTCTCTTGCCAGCTTCTGGACCAGTTCAATGCGTCCAATGTCATCTCTCTCTTGAAGCTTGCACATCACCCCAGCCTTGAGAGTTGGAGAAAAGGCAAAGATATACTTAAATCCGCAGTCCCAGGACATGGCACCACTGCCAAGTTCACCCTATTAGAAGCTCATTTTTTTCTCCCATGGACTGGATTAAATCATGGTCTTCATAAAATATTCTGTATTCCTAAAGTTGAAATTGCATTGTTTTAACCGAGAGATACTACGCCTAAAGACTTAAAGTTGAGATCAGTCTACGTTAAGAGAGCGAAGGACAAACTAAATCATTTGCTACTATGTGTGTGCCTGATATGCCGCTATTTGTTTGTTCCTGACAGCCTGTTTCCTGTTACATAAGCAAAGCCTAGCAAGAGGTTAAAAATTCATGGGAAAGTTAGCCAGGAACCACTCTGGCAAAAAGGCCAAAGTGATACAGAGTCTTAAAAATAACAGTTTAAAACCTCCCAATTGTTGAACTCTACCACATCATTCCACAGGCAAATACACAGTTAACAAGATTATAATTTTATTTTCACAACTGGAAAATTACTATGAGGTAAGAAAAAAAACCCTCTCCAGTGCTACATGGAAAATGGTGAAATTTTTATTAAAAATAAGAAATTAGACAAAGAAACTTCAGAATTTCATTTATTGGGGTTTGGAAATAATCCAAGAAACATAATATTTTTTATTAGGTCAAGAAATCTAAGGAACAATGATGATGACGGAAGTGAATCTAGGACATGGGAATAGAAAAAAACATGCTAATTCCAACACACAAATTATAAATTATTTCTGTTTAAATCTTTTCCAAAATGGTTCATACTGACATACCAGGGCATGATCTAGTAAGTAAATCTGAAGTTGTACTTGGCCGGAGCAGTTGGGACTATAGAATCCTTATTTTAACCAACACAACCTGCAGAATTTGAGCATAGCAGAATGAACAAATATAGGGAAGGGGCTTGCATGTGATCCAAGCTTCATGGTCTCAATAGTGCATGCTGAAGATGCCCATGTTGCTGAGTGGGCATGAAAGAAAGGGAACCAATTATGCAAAGACATGACTAAAACTTTTATTCCCAAGAGTAGGGACATCTCTTTTTCTAGTGCTTTCTCCAAGTTGGAAAGAAACAAACACAATCCTTGAATAGCCCAAATCAGACTCCCGGAAGATAGCAATAGGACTCCACCAAGGTCAGAGATTTATTTTTACAGCATTCCTCACAAGTGGTTTTTCCAGTTCCTTTCTGAAGTGTCTTTGGACACCGATCTCAGTTTATCTTAAGTCAGCCTGCACACTGCTAGATAGCCAGACTGTTGGAAAGTCCTGTATCCCATGAAACACTACTCTGAAACTTTTTTTTTTTTTTTTTTTGATGCAGAGTCTTGCTATGTACTTCAGGCTGGCCTTGAACTTACTTGTGTAGCCCAGACTGGCCTCCAACTCATACAGATCCTCCTGCCTCAGCCTCCCAAGTGCTGGGATTAGAGGCATGAGCCACTACACCCAGCTTGAAACTATTTAATGTCAACTCATGAGTATAAGTTTTGTGGGTTTTTTTTTTTAACTTTGTTTTCTTTTTATTTTAGAGATAAAAGAATGAAAACATCTTAATAAACACACATACATTTAGAAAATAACACAAAAACCATACAAGCAATACAGAATCTCAGACAAGGTGACAGGAAATTAACAACGGTTGTTATATTACACACCCTCAATTTGGATATTCAGATAAACAAATATAGACATGTAAGACTGATCATACACTTAACCATTAACTGTTCCTTTCAATAGAGCAGTGAAAGTCAGTAGTACAACAATGCTAGCTATCCTGTGTATACATATATATATGTATTTTTTTTCCCCTTCTTTCTTTTCTCTTTTCCCTCATCCCAGTTGTTCTTTCCTTTTAAGCAGTTTCCTTCCCTTTCACAATGTCTATTGTACCTCCGAGTTTTTATTAACTCTTTCAGGTTCTTACAGTAGTGAGATAATACGGTGTTTAGACATGCAGGTCTGATTTATTTCACTTATGAGTATGGCCTTCAGTTATGTCCATTTTCCTATAAAAGCCTTGAGATTATTTTTCTTTATAGCTGAGTAATATTCCATTATATAAAAATACCACATTTTTTTATTCATTCCTCAGTGGATGGGCATTTGGGTTGCTTCCTTGATTTAGCTATTACAAATTGCGCCGCTGTAAATGTGGGTGTACATATATCGCTGTGATATGATGCTATCAGATCCTCTGGGAAAATACCCAGAAGGGGAATAGGTGGATTGAATGGGACCTCTAGACCTAGTTTGCTGAGGAATCTCCAGACTGATTTCCACAGTGGTTTCACCAGTCTGCATTCCCACCAGCAGTGGAGAAGAGTTCCTATTTCTTCACAGCCTTGTCAGCATTTGTTATTGGTTGATTTCTTAATGCTAGCCATTCTTACTGGGGTGAGATGAAATCTGAATGTTGTTTTAATTTGCGTTTCTTGAATGACTAATGATGTTGAACATTTTCTCATGTGTTTATTTCCTGTTTGTATTTCTTTATTTGAGAAATGTGTGTTCATCTCAGATACCCACTTTTGTATTGGGTCTTTGAATTTTGGGGAGAAGTTTTGTGTTTTAAAGCAATTGAAACTAGACTTGTTCAAATGTGACAATTTTTCTAATACTTAAATAAAAATATCTATAATTTCCTTTTCAAATCTTTAGATGTATATCCCTGCTTCTCAAAATGATTTATTCATTCAGCAGATTTTGAGCAGCAACACACTACAGATGATGAGATTACAGATGAGAATAACAAACAGAGAAAAAAGCACCAAAGTCCCTTCATCAGGGAACTTCCACTAAATAGAGGGCAGAGTTAATACATGTCACTGGGAACATCGTGTGGTAATGTGGGACAGAAAGGGAGACATCGGAGTGAGGGGACAGAGAAATGGCTGCAGCCATTAATGACAGGAACGTCAGGGAAGGGTTCTTTAGTAAGATGGCATATGAGGGAAGAACTAAAGCAAGCAGTGAGGAAGAGTAATGTGGGCTCTGCAGGGAGGAACAGGACCAGGTCACAGAAGTTTCCTTATAGGCTGTGTAAAGGGCTTGAATTTTTTCCTGTGCCAGCTCAAAAGCCTGTGGGATGCCCTGGACAGATCACTAGCATAACTTGGTTAACATTTCCTAGGATCATTATGTGTCCTGGGGAGGGTGGGAAGCAGCAAGTGACGCTAGGGGACTGGTTTCCACACAGAGGTGGTGTGAGAACTCGTGGTAGCGGTGGAGATATAATAAGTGGTTGGGATCTGGATACATTTCTAAGGCAAGGCCAGCAGATCTTGGTTTGAGTTTCTAAACTATTTGGCCTGAACAACTGGAAGGATGGTTATTTACTGGGACTGAAAAAGTGGGAGAGTAGGTCTGGCATTGCTGCTGTCCGCTGGATACCTCAGTTGGGATGCTGGGTTAGCAGGGTGAGGTTCAAAGAAGCCCAGGCCAGACACACAACTCAGGGGTCATTGGTACCACTCTAGTTTCACAACGTAAATCCGGGAGTGGCGTTAATGTTTACAATTTGGCAAGATGAGGCATAATCAGGAGACTAAGGAGGAGAAGCTCCTAAGGAGAATGTGGACAGCAGTGAAGGTATTTCAGGGAGGAGGAAGTGGGAAAACTTAATAAACACTGCTCAAGTATCAAATAAGATGGCTCAAAATAATTGATATTGAATTTATCAGAAGTAATCCATGACTTGGAAAAGAGCCACTTTACTCTGGGGTGTAGGAACGAAAGCTTCTTTAGTACGCATTCAACAGACAGGCCCTGGCGGAAGGGCAATGGTGAGGAGAGGTTCTTGGCGTGCTTGCTGGTGTTGCGATAAGGAGCATGCTAGTGTATTTATCTGCAGTAAAAAGGGAAATTAGATGATGCAGGAAGGAGAGAGCACATTTTCAAGAGTAATTTTCTTGAGTAGGAAAGAGAAGATAAAGATCTGTCCTCAGACAGAAATATAAAGGTAAATATTTCATCCACTGGGACAGGAGGAAAGGTTAAGTACAGGTGGAAGGGGAAATTCTTTTCTGAAGGCTTCTATTTCCCAGGAGACTGAAAAGTCCAGTTACTGGTGGAGAGTAAAGATGGAGAGGACAAGAAGAGGGAGAGATGAGAAAAGACCATGATGGCATGGTCACTGAAGCTCTAAGTGCGGACAAACCTTTTCTATAAAGGGCCACGTAGTAAATAGTCTAGGTTTTGTGAGCCTGGGGTCTCCGCCACAAAGCCTCAGCTCTGCAGCTGGAGCCCAAGAGCAGCAAGAAACCATAAGCAAATGAATGAGCTTGGCTACAGAGAGCACTGATTCCAGAGACAGGCAGGAGGCTGTGATTTCAGCCTGGCCTAAGAGAAGAGGACAGTGGGGTGAGGTTATTGAGCAGGGTGTAGCTCAGTGGTAGAGCGGTTATCTAGTATGCATGTGTGAAGTCCTGGGTTTGATCCCAGCACGAACAAAACAAAAACACAAACAGATTATTAAGTATCATTTGGGGTCCACTTGATTTTTATTTTTAAATCCTTTTACCATCTTGGTCTTCCTTCTATGGGATTTTAATGGATCCCATAATCTGAGACAATGTAAAATGTATGAAGAGCTCTCTCAATCAATACCAGAGGGGGTAAAAGGGAGTCATGGTGTTAAGTACCCTCCTTTAAACTAGAAAGGCAAAAAACCCAGGGGTTATTTCAACATTCTTTAAACATTATACAGGGTATGATAAAAAATATGGTGGAAGTTTAAATCTTGAAAGCTTATTACAATAAAGGACACATTGCCATTAAGCCCTCCCCTATACTTCTCACCTTGAACACACATATCCCACCATCCCCTTTCCAAAGCATTTCTGCAAGTTCTCTTTCATGTCATTAGCTGCACTGTCATGGGTGCCTCGATGTCCCGAATCATTTCAAAACATTTATCTTTCAGGGTCATTTTGACTTTGGGGAAGTGGCAGAAGTCACACAGTGCCAGATCTGGTGACTA